GGTTTTGTGAGAGAGGGTTGCCCAGCAGAAACTGTGACCGTAGGCAGAGCATTGCAGTCCCTGTGGCCCAGGACCAGGCCAGGAGAGAATAGGAGAGCCATCACCTTGACCTCTCTCTCTTCTTGACCTCTGATCTCCTGTTAGGTCCTGTTAGGTTTAGCCAAACCCAACTAGATGCCAAAAGACATAGGGTCCTACTGACAAGGTCTGTGTGGTATATCCTCCAGGGGTACATAGGCAGGTGGAGAAGGATGGGATGGCTCTGGAGGGAAAAGTGGAGACTATCCAGAACATCCCATAGTGACTACAATGTCTTAAATGTAAAGCAGGTTTTCTAGTAATGCTTACTGTTTGGTTTAAATGTGTGCCTATGGAAGGCCTAATCACTCTAATAGTTTGGATACAAACTATCGAGAGGCTAAAGGGTGAATTGAGGGACTTGGTGTGGGGCCTTTCCTGTTCTCACAAGTTTGTCAAAACTGCCCAGCTGTTAGAGCTGAGGATCTAGTGTGGCCAACGTTTTGTCTTCCTTCTGGAAGGGGAAATAAAGGAATGGGGTACCATGAAAGAATCTGTCGTTCATGAAAGAAACTCCCTCCCATCCCTGCCTAAAAGCAAAAAGTAATTTTTCCTCACATTAAAAGGGAATTTCTCCTATCAGAATGTGAGATGGTTAAAGAGAGAGAGAGAGAGAGAGAGAGAAAGAGAGAATTCCCTCCCCAGCCCTCTCATCAGCTAAATGCTATCATAGCCACAAGTATCATATAACTCTACAGTCAGCCTGGGAATGATTCTTGCAAATAAAAAAGCACAGTGTGAAATGCTGACTTTTTCTGATCAAAAAGCATCCTGGGGTGGGCAGAACAGCTTTGGGTCAAGAAGAGGCCTTGATTTCTGGGGTGATTTTTATTGTTATCAGAGAGAAGACTGTACTTGCTGCAAACGTGTGGCTCCTCGGCACACTCCTACTGGTGAAGGCAAACTTGTAGTCACTTGTCTCTCTCTCAGGGTACTTACCCCCCGCATTGAAACATATTTTTCATTTCAGTTTCACTTACCTGTCACTTTCTTCTTAAAAAGGGTGATTTATCAAGTTAAAAAAAGAAAAAATCAACATCAAAGAACACTTCAATGCTACGGGGGTGCCCACACACACACACATACATACACGCAGGCACACACACTCAAACCCCCCGTGTCCTGTCTTGAAGGCAAAATTGTGACTAAAAACCACAAGAAACTATCCCCCAATGGGAAGCTTTTTTCAGCATCTTGACTGTGAGTTCCTTTATTCTGTGTTTCCGCCAGCCTACAAATTTAAAAGCTGTTGCAAGGGAGCTATAATTTCTACTCAACACTTCATGATTTGATTATGTAAAATAAAAAGTGTAATGAAGTTAATAGTACCTTATTCTTACTGTACACGATGAGGAATTTTTTTCCCTGCAGAATGTGAAAGTGGAAATTACCTCTGGACCTTCTAATTCTCAAAAATGTGGGTCATAATGATGACTGTGGTAGAATTTCAAGACGTAAGATTTAGTATATTTCTCTTTCCTCTATTCGGTTTTCCAAAGGGGCGTCTTCTCTTACTGGGATTTTATGTAGTAAAATGTAAGGAACTGAAGTGAGGGGTAAGAGCCCTGCGTCCTACGCTACTTGTGGAGCCTCGAGGAAAACACTGAACCTCACTGAGTAATAACTTCTTCTGCCAAGTGAGGAGACTGGATAACCCAGTCCTATCCTAGCATTCTAGGATTTAAAAAAAAAACAACATTAAAATAAATGAATAAATAAAATTTAGAAATTTAAAAAACAACATAAAGTGGAATAAAGTAAACATGCCTTGAGAAAGAAGTGTGGCATATGATGCCAGGTGTTTCTTTCCCCTTGTGTTGTCCAGGAGGCCTTTTCCAGAATTATCACCTTGTGTTTCTCTCCCAGTTATTTGTGTGAATGCAGCAGGGAGCCAAAGAGGAGGCTGATGTCTTTGCTTCAAATCCTTTAACAGGCCAGTCAGCTTTGACCTCATCCCTGTCTACCTCTCTTCCTGATGGCCACAAAAGAATTCACTCAAGGGACTCTCAGTGGGTATCACTCTCAAAACACCGGCTCAAAACGAGTACCTTTGCTGTCCCTGCCTCAGCATCTTTTATGAAGAAAGAACATAACTCTAAAAGAGAAGGCTAATTTATAGTGATGTGGCCTAAGCTGTGTAACATGGAGTGTCATTTAAGACCTCCCATCCCTCAGGCCACCTACTCATAGAGACAACAGTCTTTCAGGATCTTCCCAATTATACCCATGCAGCCATAACACTTAATCTACCTCCAGGAAACACGGAAGATATTTCACTAGTGTAAAAACTCTCCTTAAGCATCATTTGGGGACATTGAATAGCATTAAGTTTCGCAGGTTGTGCCAAGCAACGGGTTCTTATTTTCCCTGTTCTCTCATGCTGAAGTCAGAAAATGGATCTGCAGGCCCCACAAGACTCAGGGTAGAGCCACGTGCCAAAGGGGAACCCAAGCTCGGTGTTGGGTTTTCAGCTTGTACTGCTGCTACCACAGGCTTTGATTATGCTCGCAGTCAGGCCTGTCCCTGAGCAAAATTTAAATAAGGACAATGGTTTCATTAAGGCTCTTTCCTCTTTCTCTGATTTTCAGATGTCCAAAGCTCTCGTGGCGATTCACTGCCTGTCCACTCCCTGCCCCAGCCCAGCCCTGCATCCCAGCTCTCCGTGCCCTGTACCTTATTGTTTACCAATTCCCTCAACAAAATTTTGCTCGGCGGCTTGACATTTGGGAAAGATCCAAGACATTTTATTTTTTTTTTAAAGATTTTATTTATTTAGGGACGCCTGGGTGGCTCAGTTGGTTAAGCAGCTGCCTTCGGCTCAGGTCGTGATCCCAGCGTCCTGGGATCGAGTCCCGCATCGGGCTCCTTGCTTGGCGGGGAGCCTGCTTCTCCCTCTGCCTCTGCCTGCCATTCTGTCTGCCTGTGCTCACTCTCTCTCCCTCTCTCTCTGACAAATAAATAAAATCTTTAAAAAAAAAAAAAAAAATTTTATTTATTTGACAGACAGAGATCTCAAGTAGGCAGAGAGGTAGGCAGAGAGAGAGGAAGGGAAGCAGGCTCCCTGCTGAGCAGAGAGCCCGATGCGGGGCTCGATCCCAGGACCCCGAGATCATGACCTGAGCCGAAGGCAGAGGCTTTAACCCACTGAGCCACCCAGGCGCCCCCCAAGACCTTTTATTAATGAGCGCTCCCATGAAAGACAACAGCTTAGCTTGCTTGCTCTGATGGCATCTTCGCCTATTCTCTGGCGTGGAAGGCAGAACCCAGGACTTTAGGGGCTAATCAGGGAGGATATATGGGGGTGAAGGGAACATTTCCTGTAAGGTTCCTGGGTGGCTCAGTGAGTTAGGGATCTGACTCTTGATTTCGGCTTCGGTTGCAATCTCAGGGCTGTGGAATCAAGCCCCACATCAGGCTCTGTGCTTAGCTCGGAGTCTACTTATCCCTCTTCCTCTGCTCCTCCCCTCACCCACGTGAGCTCTCTCTCTCTCTCATAATTAAAAAAAAAACAAAAAAAAACAAAAAAAAAAAACTTTTTTTAGAAGAGAACCTTTCCTGTGCTGCTCATATTATAACATATGAGCATCTCTGTCCTCTGTTTAGGTATATGACGGACCCTATTAACAGGTTGGGTAAAAAGTGGTGGGGTTTTTTTTTTTGGCAAAGGAAAGGCTGAAAAATTATCTTTTTATCCTGTTTCCCCAGAAACTATCTTCAGGGAATAGACGTATAAATACACACACACACACACACACACACACACACACACACATACACACACGCTATTTCACATTCGACTGGAGATAGAAAGACCTAAGAGATGAGAAGAGGGCAGGCACATCCTTTGGGAGGAGAATCTAAAATGCTATAAAAGTTCTTAGCCTCTGAAGGTAGGCTGGTCAGTGCACAGCCCACACAGACACAGAAATTGAATCTAAAAACAAGAGAGGCACTAGACACAAAAGTTCAACGTAATCCTTTTCTCTGTTCCTGGAAACTCACACCCAGGAACACTTTGTGACCCTAAGCCTCAGCAGTTATGGGGTAACTAACTTGTCCCTACACTGGCAGAGCCAGACCTATAGCAGCAGGGTGGGAAAAGCGCAACTGACAAATCCATTCAACAAATATTTGATTGGATACCTATTCCGACCCAGACTCCCAGCCAGATGCTGGGAGCACACAAATGAATAAAGCACATCCTCCCGCGACAAGCAAAAGAAGGAGCTGAGCTAAATCTTCATTTCAGTCAATGAGCAAAAGAGAAAGAGGTGACTCCCTTGATTTCTTGCTCTGTTCATATGCATTAGGGAAGAGACGAGGGGATGTACACATCGGAGCTCAGAGAGCAGCCAACCTTCCACAATCAGTGACTTAGTCTCTTTCTTGGACTAACCAGATTCTCATGCACAGAAGCAAACACAACCAAGTTGTTAAGAATGACACTCATCAGCATTCACACTCTTAGAAAGCTTATCAACAATTGAACTATGGTACGTACCTAAGGTCTCGGGGATGCTTCATTCTTCGATATTAGAAGCTCTACTAAATCCTTATTCAACTTATCCCCCAGATGAAGATAAATGGGGGATGGAACAACTATATATAGGCTTGGCATTGGATGTCAACTTTACAGTAGTGTTTTTGTATAGGTTAAAGTCTACTTCAGCTGGAATTAATGTAATTACATATAATGTTGACAGATTATGACATTTGCCTATTAAGTACACTATACAAACATTCCAATAATTTGCTGGCTTTTGACTTTGTAAAAAATAAATGAAAGCAAATCCCAGGGGATATGGCTAATGCGGTAACTGGAATAGAGGTTTCAAAAGCGCAGAGTTCAGGAAATAACAGTCAAAGAATAATGCATTTTAAGCCAAAATATATAGAGTGGTAAATGAATATTTAGTACTTACCACAAGACTGCTGTCTAGAGACAACCTTTTTCCAAAGTCCCTTTTCTCAAGCTGTCTCTTTCCCTCCATGGGTGAAGTTATTTATTTTCCTTTGTGATTTATAAGAATTCCCCTTCTGTTTCCAGGGTCACTGTAAAAAGTGAGCATGTGTTTTACCATCCGAGTGAAAAGTGTTTAGACCCATGTTTTTAGCTAACTAGAAACAAGTGTGGCAGCCAAAATATCCAGACCCGAACCACAAGTGCAAAACAGGGCTCTCTCAACTCAAAAGACCTCTCCGGGTTGCGAATGTCAGAGTCATCTTTACGGAGGCCCCTGTGTTTTTATAGGTCTTGCTAATGGAGTTGGGGAATGGGTTTGCAGGTTGAATCAGCAGACTGTGGAAAAAAGCAAACAGTCTGTTTCATGCCACGCTTGCTCCACACTCGTCCTCCCTCTATCAGCCAGAATCATTCTGTTACTGTGCACATAGATGCTGTCTGCAAATTCCATGAGCTAAAACTGACAAAACCAGGCTCCATAACCAAGAGTGGCTGAGCCCAAGGCGCGAGGAGAGGAAACGGAAACCTGAACATCACTGCCAATATTTCATTGGAAAATATGTAAGTTAAACAGATGTGGGGAACGTATAAGAATCATTCCCTCTAGGACAGGTGGATTCCACAAATGGTGGAGGCCATGTTATCATCAATGAGTATTTGAACACCCATGGCATTTTATCAGATCAGATATAGTTAATCCCTGTACTCCACTGCGGTGGTTAGCTCTAGAATGACTACGTGTCTTGGTTAGTAGGAATATATTGTGTGTGTCAAGCACTAGCTTCTAGTCTTCATGAATATATAAATGCCTGAAATAAAAGAAACAGGTTTTAGTCCATACTTTCCCACCCATTCTCCAAGTAACCTTGGACAAGTCATTCAGCTTCTCTGAAACTCACCTTTCTAACCTGCAAAAAACATGTAGATGTACAATGATTTAAAGGCAATAAACTACAACTTACATGTCAGTTATAATTATGCACAGATTTCATTAAAAACCAGTTAACCTTAAATACTAAGTTAACCTAATCTAATACATCTTTGATGATTCAGGAGGCACCTGGAGGTAGAGAAGTGCCTCATAATCCACACAAAACACATAGCCATTGTCCTGCTATCAAAGTAAAGCTGAACTTAATAACACACTCTACCAATAAGCTTTTGATAAAATTGAAAAGAAATATTATCCACAGCACCCTCAATGCCTCCAAATCTAATGAGGATATAGCAGAATCTGACCTCACAGCCCCCAGCATATGGCCTCCTGCTCCTTGTTCCCCCCACCAGGAGGAGGGTGGGGACAGTGATGCCCCAGACAGGCCCAAATGATGGTTGGTGGTAGGAAACCGATGAACTCCCTTCCCAGCCCTAGGCTCTCTCCTCCATCTGCCACTTCTTGCTTTTAGGAACACCAATTTCAATTCATTACTCATCTACTCAGAATCTCCTGGGAGTCCACCCTGAATTCAGGATATAAAACCAAATTTTTCAACATTATGTTCAATGTCTATTTCCTGCCAAGTAACCTTTTCCAGTCCCTGAATGTGTGAGGCATATTCCTGAGACCACACTTGGATCGCACCCCTCATCTCCATCAGGTCTAATTCTCTCTTCTCCAGGGCCTGGCGCAGGTCCCACCTCCTTCACAGGAGCTTCCTGGTCACACCACTGGCCGAAGACTTCTTTCTCTCCCATGTTTCAGGGTAGTCGTTAGGGACTTAATTATTAACCACCATCATCACCTAGCACAGCTTAAATACAGGAAGTTCTTATTTGCTGGTTGGTACAGCCTAGTAGTTAAAAACAAACTCGTGGCAGCATTTTCCAGAAAAAAGCTAGTTGCATGCTATTAGTATCAGCCAAACTATTAGTTCCGTGAAATTTGTTGTAAGGGATTGCCTTTCCTATTTTCAGCTGTTCCCATCCACTTTGCTGTCCCCACCTTATCTCAGTAGGAGATACACACATTGTGTGCATACTGTGTGCCCTCACTTGTAGCTCAGAATATTCTCTGTAATGATGGCTCCAGCTAGAGGGACTACTCAGGCCCTGAGATTTCTCCCTCCATCAAAAACATACCCCCTTAACTCATTTTCTCATTGTCTTTTCTTGTTAATTTATTCCTCACCTTCCTAAGTCATACCCCAAAGATCCCTGGCATTTGATAGGTCTCAATAGATAATCCTTTGGCATGTAGTACGTATTTATTAAGTACCTAATATATGAAGGACCCAGTACTTAGGTGTTAGTAACATAGCCATGTATAAGGGAGACTAGGTTCCTGTCTTCATGGAACTTCACGGAAGATGTAGGAAATAAGTAAGCAAACAAACATTCCAAACCATGGGAGGTATCTGCTTATGAAGGAAATAATCTTCAGGAGGTGGTATTAAGGAGTGTCAAGTATGTAGAAAGGGAGAACCCTTTAGACAGAATTGTAAAAATAGAAGCCAGTCATATAAAAATATGGGTAAAAAGCACTCCAGATAGAGGGACCAGTCTTTCTGCTGGGAAAAAGCCAGAAAGAGGTTTGTGTGCCCCCCAGAATAGGGAACCAGTTTTTTAGGAACAAAGAAGCGGGGAAGACAATATGTGAGAAAAGTTCTAAGCCATAAGCAGCAATTACATCACACAAGTGTCTTGTAGGACAAGGTAACTTGTTTGTTCTGAGCATAACACTTAATCTTAAAGTTTGGTTACTCTTTGCTAGCTGAAAACATTAAACAATTTAATCTCTATAGGTTTCAACTGATTCATCTACAAAATGGAATTAATAATAGCTCCTGCTTCATAGTGGGGTTGTTGTGATGATTAATGAGATGATCCATTTTTTTTTAAGATTTTATTTATTTGCCAGAGAGAGAGAGAGCGAGAGACTACACACAAGCAGGCAGAGAGGCAGACAGAGGCAGTGAGAGAATCAGGCTCCCTGCTGAGCAAGTAGCCCAATGCAGGACTCAATCCCAGGACCCTGGGATCATGACCTGAGCTGAAGGCAGTGGCTTAACCAACTGAGCCACCCAGGCGTCCCTGAGATGATCCATTTAAAGAACTTTCCCACTACCTGGCACATAGTAGGTAAGCTTTAAATATCAGATATATTGATCATCCTTTCTGGTAAGTATGATTAAACTCTTTCATAAGCAATGCTAGTGACACAATTTTATGCTCCATAATAGGTTGAGGAGACTGTCATTTTGGGAAACAAGGATCTTTTCAAAAGTTCTCAAACAGCCTAGTTTGCTATGTGGAAGGCTGACTGAATGGTTTAATCCAGTCAGTTTCTTTTCATACTTTTCGTACTTTATAGTGCCAGTTTTATAGACAGAGATTGACCTTCAAAACATCAGCAACTGATAAGACATAAGGATTGGCCAATCAGGACATGGTCAATGGCAACAAGTAGCACAGCTGTAGCCATGTGTCCTGGCCAGTTACCACCCTAAATGTATGTACTACCCCATCCCAAGAACTGGAAAATTCATGAATTATACCATAAAGCAATCATGGAAAGGATCAAAGTAAAGATATCCAAAAGGATCAATGCAAGACCACATAAGACCACGCAAGAAACAAAATGCCAACCAGGATGTGTCGATATGAAAAGGGGAGGAGTCCACAAAGGAAAAGTCAGGAAGGCTGACAAATTCCACTTCCAGCATTGTCAAGTGAAGAGTGCCCACATTTACACATACCCAGAAAGGACTACAAGTCTAGAGGGGACATGAACATGCCAGATCCCAGACACTTTGGTATTTCACTGGCCATTTGTATCCCCCAACAAAAGCCCCTGATTAGAGACCACTGCCATAAATCAATCTTCCAATTTTATTTGATTCCCAAGTCATTTTACTTACAGAGGAAGAATGTGCTGACCAGCAAATATGAGGAGGCAATCTTTTGGAAAGCTATATTTTTTAGTACAAATTTGCAATTCAGCATCTGACTCTTTACATTCATCATTTATGTATTTGCTTAGTATATTACTCAGCTTGTGCTGCCATAACAGAATATCACAGACTCGGTGGCTTCCAACAATAGACATCGATTTTTCTCACAGCTCTGAAAACTGGAAATTCAAGATCAAGGTGGCAGCAGTGTTGGTTCCCGGTGAGATGTCTCTCCTCTGCTTGCATTTGGCCACCTTCTGTGTCCTCACATGACCTTTTCCTCTGCACACATACTTCTGGTGCCTCTTTCTTTTCTTTTCTTTTTCTTATACGGGCATCAATCCTATTGAATGAGGCCCCCACTCTTAAGACTTCATTTAACCTTAATCATCTCCACCTGTAAGGCCCTAACTCCAAATATAGTCCTTTTGGGGCTAGGGTTCCAACATGAATTTTCAGGGGATACATTTCCATCCATATGAATTAATTTCAGTCAGAATTCAAAGTCTGATCACAGCTCCAGGTACTAATAATAAGTTTAACTAATAAGTTTTCTAACTAAGTTTCTGAGTCTAAAACCTGACAGAAAACTCTAAAAGTCAGTGGCTACTTCCAGACCCTATCACTCTCTGCTGGTTAATTCACTGTTGGATTTCATGCCATCATGAAATGGGTGGGTAGCTCCCACCCATCCCCACCTTCCCTTGTTACACTCTTCTCTTTATTGCAGGTCTAGATGTGCAAACATTATCAAGATTTCTTAGTCAGTTGGCCAACATGGGTTCTGCCAATAGGAGGCAGTAAGAGGTGAGAAGGCAACAGGAAGGGAAAAGCCCTTCTTCTAGCAGCAGAGAAGCAGCATCAATAGCAGGTGACTGTATGATCTAGTAACTTCTGTGATTCCTCTAACAAGCACAGTATAAAAACAGGAGGTAGCAACTTCCAAGACTTTGAGTACCACCCACTTAAGCCTTTTGCTCCTCCTGCTTTTCCAACAGTTTCATTAAGAAATTCCTTGGGGCACCTGGGTGGCTCAGTGGGTTAAAGCCTCTGCCTTCGGCTCAGGTCATGATCTCAGGGTCCTGGGATCAAGCCCCACATCGGGCTGTCTGCTCAGCAGGGAGCCTGCTTCCCCCTC